CATCTAATTTGCATATTGTGACGTCATCAAGGTGGCGGCCATTTTGGAAAATGTTAATTATTGTATAAAAACTTTAAAAAAGCTGTAGCTTGGGAGTTTTTTTTAGATCAGGAAATACTATAAACAGTCAGTGTGAAATATCTTTAGTATGAAATGAATTTGGGATAGAAATAAATTCCCTGATCCAGATTATAGATAATGTTTTAGCACTGGTTCGCGGCCATACAGAATTGTATTATTTTCATAGACCTTCAGTGATCAAGACAGCTCTCTTTATAGTTTACAGTCATGAAATCTGGAGTTTGGTTTCAATATTTCCCTTTCAAAGAAGTGGTGGGCATACTATTTTTCTCGGTGGAAATGAGGCTCCTGGATTTATGGTTTAGAAACAGAGAGATGAAATGAATGGGCTCAGAACATGTCAGATCGTCTCAACAAGAAACAACAGGCTCTTCAACACTTCTGATCCACTTTTGTGGATTATTTTCTCTCAAGAACTGCCTTGATCCTCATCATCACTGTTGGTAAAGGCAGTGAACGCGAAAAGCGATGTGTTTTATTCCCGCGGCTCTCCCGCGTCTCCCGTGTTCCCCGTGGATGTTTACCCCCGCTACTTTCTCCCACATGCCCGGTGTTATGATGCCCCTGTACCCTCGCCTCGACCACAGCCCCTGCTTGGCGTTCACAGAATGCTTCTACCGCGGCCACACGGAGGACAAGCAGCCGCTGCACAGAGGCTGATTGTGGACTATATGGAGCGCGGTCTCCCCGTCACTAATAATGTCTGTGTCTGCTTCACTGGACACCTGCGTGTCTTCCTCCTCTGAATCTGAGTGAGCCAGTACCAGACCAAGTACTTCTCTGGTACTGAAGACCTCGTGAGTAAAATAAAAAACACTCTCTCCCTCTGCTCTGCTCTCGCTCCTCTCAGCTCTACCGCTGCTGCTTCGCCTCCGCGCTGCTGCGCCGCAGGTGTTTTACGAACTCAATTTACTCAAAAACTTTCAATATAACCACACCCACAAATGCTGCTCATATTACAGGCACACATGTCCACTAACCCCTGGTGAAAAGTATTAACAAGATTCTGCACCACATTTTACATACAGCCTGTTTAAGTGAGCAATGTTGCTTGTCGCAATATTGCGACTTTGGCGCTTAAAGGGTTAAAGTTAAACTCATCATTCTATCAATGTGCAGAAGCCAGTACTTTTCCCTTGTTTTGTCTATCTGAAGGCCAAGCTACATGGCACTGTGGCAGCTGCTGATTGGAGGTCTCCATGCCTCCGCTCTGTATAATACACTTGCATTCTGTTGTTCGTGCTGTCTCTACCATCGACAATAAAACATGTTTTCTGTCTGAATTAAAGACGCGATCCCAGACTTTGTCATCTTCTTCAGGTCACACTGTGTCGATTTAACCACGTGGACACACTTTCAACTACCTCTAGGTCTCTACCTGAGGCCTCCACCCATCACTGCCTCCAGAAACCTCCACTTCCGTGGCCCCGGTCTCACTCCCACTTACTTCTATAGTGGGGGGAGGGGCCTAGAGGTGGCATTGTTGCCCTTTTGCTCTTAGCTCTGTGGCCTGCTCTGGGTGGGTCTACTCTGGGCTCCTGTGGTCTGAGTCAGTGACCACTCGTACAGTGGCCTTGGTTCTGGAACACATCTTGAAACAGGCAATTTAAAAACAACAGATATCAGTGTGTGCAGGAGATTGTTTCCTATCAACATGCGCTATATAAATAAAGATGACTTATTTCATACTAATGTGAAACATTTTTAAAACCAGAAACTCTTTCTTAATAAAAAACTCAAATCTCAAAAAACCTTTTAAACTTTAAAAAATGTATTCTATTATGTACTTCTGTACTGTGTGATGTTTTTAATCTTGGCGTCCTTGGGTTTCTTGAAAGGCGCCATAAAATAGAATGAATTATTATTATTACTCAAATCGCAACTAAAACTGTATGAAAAATCTCTGTAAAAATGAATTTTGAAAAACATTAAAACAAAACTTGAAAACATGAAATCAAAGCAAAAAGAACTAAACTGGATTAATCACTTTATGGAATTTCCCTTTTACACTTGAACATTTAAAGCATATATTCTAATTTAAGATAATTGCTGCATTCTTCAAATGCACTCAATAAACTTTTAAAAACATTTTGAATTGGAAGACACTATCAAACTCTGCTCGCTCTGCAGTGAGCAGCAGCTGCAAGGCCAGAGCTATAGACAAAACAAAACTCACAGCTTTTAGACTGAATTGAGTGTTAGTATTAGATAGCAATATGGCCTACGTGCAGGACTGTACAAGGACTCTGATTATTTTGACTATGATGTGACTGTCTCTGTGTGACACGTACGTCTTTCGATGTGTGACGTGACAATGACTATATAAACTGTGTACTGCCTTTATTCTGTCTGAGAGAAAGAAACAATGGAAACCACTGGAACTTGAGAAAAACTTAAATAAACTTCCAGAGTTTGGCGCACCACGATCCGTCTCTGTCTGCTTCATTCCTGACAGATTTGGTGGAGGATGTGCGGCTCAGTGTGTGCCATTCTCTGGATTGTTTTGAGGGAGTTTTGTTTGTTTTCTTTTTCTCGGCGTGGGAGAGCTGAGAGTATCGGGGGCCTGGGAGCGGTCCAGCAGGCTGGAGAGGCGACCGGCTCCGGGACTTTTTTGCTCTCTCACTATATTTTTTTTGTCCTCTTTTTTGGACTGACTAAGCATTTAAAATGGTTTTCCCATGTCCACATTCCGGGGATTTTTGACGTGCGATTGGTCTCTGCCGATGGAAACTAGTTCCCGGTACTAGTGAGCGCTGGTTCATGATCTGGAGACCCGGTTGGACGTGGAAAAGCTGATATTTGGTGGACTTCTGACTGTGCCTGGCGCCCTGTTCGACAAAAGGTAAGAGCGGACACCTGTTTATTCAAAGTCTGCTAATTGAGTGAACTAAATTATGGTCTGTTTTGAGGTCTGCCAAATGTCTAATATCTATAGATAAGATTAGAGAAAAAGGAACCCCTGACGTATCGGGGTCCCTGTCCTTTGAAGTAGTCAGGGCAGAGAGAAAAGGGAACCCCTGACGTATCGGGGCCCCTGCCCTTTGGAGTAGTCAGGATAGAGAGAAAAAGGAACCCCTGATGTATCGGGGCCCCTGCCCTTTGGAGTAGCCGGGGCAGAGAATAGAGAATAGAAAATAGTTAGTGAAACCATGGTAAAAGTAATAATAAAAAGGGAAACGTTAAACACTAAGTGCCTTTTGTTATTAGTGTGGAAATTGGCCATTTCTAGACTTGGATGACAAAAGTATAAACTACAACATCAGTTATATTCGCTTAACCCTAGAACACTATTGCCGGGTGATTTTCTGCCGGGTGATTTTCACCCGAGCAAAAAAAAATATGTGATTTTCATTATGCTGCGTTTGTCTGAGTGTCATGGGTCTCTGGGTAGCTTCAGCATTGTCTTTGACATCTTTGATGGCATGGGTGTTTTCCTAATCCAAAACACACTTTTTCCTACAGGCACATGCTTGGGTGATTTTCACCCAGCAATAGTGATAGAAGGTAGGGTAGTTTTTGGGTGAATTTTACCCAGGGTTAGTGTTAGTGTATAAAATCACACAATCTTGCCCCCTTTTGAGGTTGACAACATTCAGGACTGCCAGATTTACTTTGCCTACTTCAACTACAGCTTTGCTCCTTGGTGTCCTTGGCATCCAAGCAAGTGAGTAACACATAGCTAAAGGTTGATTTACCTTAGCAATTGTTAGCTTTTTTGCTTGAAGCTACATTACCTAGCTAGCATACTGTGCATTTTCTTTCAGACAAGTGCTACATTCTCAAACAAAATAGCCAGCAGATGAAGTTGAGGCAGTCCTACAGAAAGAAAAAATATGTCTAAAAGAAAACCAGTAAAGAAGTACTTGTCACAGAAGGAAGTACTGGAGATTCTGTTCAGGGAAAGCAGTGATGAAGATGTTGATAATGTGGAAGCAGAAGAGATGTATGACAGCGACAGTGACATTGACTACATTCCAAAACCGGGTGAGGATGATGAAAGTGATAGTGATGGTTTTGAAACTAGCACTTCAAGTCATCAGACAAAAAAAAAAAAAAAAAACAATATCAGGATTCCGGTCGACCACACACCAGAAAAATTGTCCCAGGACCTGTTGCCTCCACGTCTACTGCCCATCCTACGTCCCGTGCCACACCTGATGCTTTTCCTGCCAGTCACGATGCTTCCCCTGCCACAAATACTACTGCCCCTTCTACACCTGATGCTGTTGCTGCCAGTCCTGATGCTTCTCCTGTCACATCTCCTGCTGTGAGGAGAGGATGCTCCAATGAGGATGATGGCATGGCCTATGTTGTGAGACTCGAAAATATCTCCTACACAAGTGCATCTGGTTTCCGGTGGAGTTCTCGGCCTCAGACATCGGCTACTACTAGGACAACTGCACGAAACATCATGCCTTCTTTCACACCAGGACCAACACCAGAAGCATCAAATGCTGACACTCCTGAGAAGTGCTTCTCATTATTTTTTGAGGACAAAATCATTGACCAAATTGTGACATGGACAAACATCCGTATTGATGCTGAAGCTGTAAAGTATCGGAAGAGAACAGGAACTTTTCAGAGAACAACACCAGCAGAGATGCGAGCATTGCTAGGGATTTGCATCTTCAGTGGTTGCCAAAAGGACAACCATCTGTCTACTAAAGAAATGTGGAACCCTGCGACTGGTGCACCTGTGTACCGTGCTGCTATGTCTGAGTGTCGCTTTTCGTTCCTCCTTACCTGTCTGCGCTTTGATGACCCTGACACGACAGGAAAGACAGGCCATGGACAAATTTGCTCCCATTAGAGAAATATGGCAAATATTCATTGACAACTGTAAAAAGTTGTATGTGCCCAGTGAAAACATAACTGTAGATGAACAGCTGCTGGGATTTAGAGGGAGGTGTCCATTTAGAATGTACATCCCCAACAAGCCTGCCAAATATGGTATCAAGCTTGTCCTTGCCAATGATTCCCACAGCAAGTACCTGCTGGCAGGAATACCATACTTGGGGAAACTTGCAACACAACGACAGGATGGACAAAGTCTTGGCCAGTATTTCACCAAGGAGCTGACCAAGCAATATCACCATACCAACAGGAATGTGACCACTGATAACTGGTTCACCTCTGTGCCACTGATGATTGACCTGCTGGAGAACTGTGGCATGACCCTTGTGGGGACAGTAAAAGCAAACAAAAAGGAGATCCGCCATATGATGAGAGTCAAAGAAAATCGCACACCAGGCACCACTGCATTTCTCTTCACCAAAGAACTAACCTTGGTGTCCTTCCTCCCTGACAAAGCTTCCAAAAAGAAGGTTGTGCTGCTCATGTCATCCATGCACACACAACCAAGCATTGGACCCACTCACAAGCCAGAAGTGATTGAGTTTTACAACAAAACAAAGGGAGGTGTCGATACTTTCGACCAGATGTGTGCTCACTATAGCTGTGGAAGAAAGACCAAGAGATGGCCCCTGTGCGTGTTCTACGGCATGATAAACGCTGGTGTGATAAACTCATACATCATACACAAGGAGAATGCAATGAAGAGAGATGACACCTACCTGCAGAGAAGGCCTTATATGCAGGCTCTGGCACTGGCACTCATCAAACCATGGGCAGAGCAGAGGCTGCCCGCTTCAAATCTGTCACGTCAACTCAGAATCCTGATCTGTACCGTGCTCGACATCCCTTCCCCTGGTACTCTAGCCAGTGAGGAAGGACCAGTGGCAGCAGAAAGCAGTGGTGCCTTTGTAAGGTGTGCTGACTGCCCCTCAGGGTCGGACAGGAAGACACGACACAGGTGCCACGTCTGCCGTCGACCAGTGTGTCCGCGCCATTACTACCCTGCATGTACCGATTGCATGTAAGAAATAAGGCAAGTAAGAGTGGTCCTGGAATTGCATGTTGTCTTTATTTAGTGCAGTGGTTATGAATAACTATCACAAAGTGGTGATTTCCAAGAGAATTCATATGATGATGAAGTTATTTTAGTCAGCTTGTCATTTTTACCTATTCAAAATATGACATATTTTGTTTCTCTCTCCTGCAGCTATTTGTGTGTCAAGGACACTGAGCCTTCACCAGGGAAGTCTCAAATATCTTAGGAATGAGTGGAACAAAAACCAAGTTTCCATGTTCTTTTTTTTATTTTTTAGGAATTTTTTGTTCCCAAATTCCTGATTTTCCACTCGTTTTTGAGCATTTTTATGTGGACCCCTCATGATGCTTTTCTTTGATTTTGTTGGACATATGACAGTTTAAAATAAAAGAACACTACTAAAATGTGTCATGTATTGTCATGTTTTGATATATTTTGATGACAAGTACTTTTTATTGGGTGTATTATCTCGGGTAAAAATCACCCGGCGTTAGTGATGGTGTTTGGAATTTGAGCGATAGTGTTCTAGGAAAAAGTAATCTTGAAAGTTCTTCTTCTTTCTGCATTTTTGCTAAAACACTACTTTCTGAGTGTGTGTGTGCACATCTCTATCTTGCTGCCGTTGTCAGGGGAAACGGCCCCCTCCTTCACTACTCCGGCTCTGAATCAAAACAAACCTGCGTTTAGGATTTTGGCTTTTCATAGTTGTTATTCCGTTAAATTAGCAAAATTTGCAATTGAGCATTGTGTTATGACACACCTTTTTAAACACCATTAGTGAATAAGTTTTGAATAGTATATGTTTTTTTAAATCCAAAGATTAGTACAAAAAAGCTTTGCTTTTCTTTTTAAATCTGCTGCTTATTTTTTGAGTCCATTATTGTATCTCTGGTATATTTCATAGCTGTTTGTGAGAATTTTTTTCATGTATTTTTATTTTAGTTACAAAAGCCGTTTTTCAAACATTTAAATTAGAATCTGTGTCAAAAGTGATTATTGATCATAGACTTCGTCTAAAAAGAAAGAGGGAATTAGGATTAGCTGTTAAAGTACAGTGGCTCAGTTGGTAGAGCATTGGCCTTCAGGCCTGAAGGTCGTGGGTTCAATTCCCACCTCCACACTGACTCCCACTGATGACTGCTGTCGTTGTGTCCTTGGGCAAGACACTTAACCCCACTTTGCCCAAAAAGCCCCCACTGAAAGATCAAGGCTATGCTCACACTCAGAGAGCAGCCGTCCTCCTGTGGACTCACCACCTGCAGAGGGTCAGTGAGGGGCTGGTGCTATGAGATTTGGGTGGCATCTCTGATTGCCACCCCCCTGACCCAGAAATGGATTAAAGGGTAGAAAATGGATGGATGGATGTTAAAGTATATTATTGAGTTAAACTCTACCCAATTCACATTGCAAGCGGTGATTTTTTTGTTTTGACTATGCACCTGACCTTGCTCCACAGCACAGGTAACCTGGCAAAAGCCAGATTGATGATTGTGTAGAACTCTAACGCGTTCTCCGCGATATCAATCTGGGATTTCTCCCGGAGAATCCTTTCGGGGAAAGGAGGGGTAAGCAGCAGAATACTTGAAGCTGATTGGGCGAAGTGACGCTGTGTGCCCGCCTACCAAGGTTGCCGTCCAGAAATGTACAAAGCGCCTCTCGCTGTTCATCTTTCAAAAAAGAAATTGGAGATTCTGCTAAAACTGACTTTGCGTCCGTCCTCCTGCGTAGCCATGTTTGTTTTGCTTCGGCCCGGCACTTCTTGCTTTCGTCAAACCCGGATATCCCGCCCTAAACCCCCAGACTGGCGCGTGATTGGCTCGCACACCCAGTGGTTCGACTCGAAAAGTGTAAGCGGGAGCGGTACAAGATGTATTCTCGAGTGTTTGTGAACTCACAAATACCGCGAGAATTCAGCTTGCAGGCAAGGTTACAGCACAGGAGCCTGGTCTGAAATGTGCTCCAATTCTAAGTTAGTAGAATATATGCTGAGATAAATGTTCAAGATAATTAAACACACAGTACAAAAGTACATTATACATATTTTAAAGTTTGAAGGTTTTTTGAGATTTGAGTCATTTTTTTTTATTAAGAGAGTTTCTGGTCTTAAAATGTCATCATTAGTAAGATAATAAGTAATCTTTATTTATATAGCGCATGTTGGAAAGCCAAGACCGCTCCAAAATTGTTTGGACTTTAAAGAGAAAAACAATCTTATTCACAAACTGATATCTGTTGTTTTTTAAATTGGCCGTCTCAAGGATTGTTTTTCAGACTCTGCCACACTGTACAAGGGTCACTGCTGGACTGGACACTGAGGGATCAGAACAGTGGCCCAGAGTAGACACCATCCAACCAGCCGCAGATCGTAAAGGCGACATAGCTACCTCCGTGTGCCCCTCCCCCACTACAGACCGATGGTCGTAAGTGACAGTGAGACCGGGGCCACAAAGTGGGGTTTTCTGTAGGCAGTGGTGGGTGAGTTGTTTTGCAATCTGGAAGTGTGCCCACTTTGCTTGTTTACATCGAGCCAGTGTGACCTTCTAATGCAGGTGGTTCGAGGAGTCTGGAAACACAACCCCAAAATTCACACACACACACACTCACACAATCATACACTCACACATTCACATTTACATATAGATACATGAAAAAGCAGAACATGAGCAAAAAATCATTTGAAAAGTTTACTCCAATGTAAACAAATATTTTTAATTGTCTAACACTTGGGGCGACAGTAGCTTAGTTGGTAGAGCATTGGCCTTCGGGCCTGAAGGTTGTGGGTTCAATTCCCACCTCTACACCTTCTCCACCGACTCCCACTGATGACTGCTGTCGTTGTGTCCTTGGGCAAGACACTTAACCCCACTTTGCCCAAAGCCCCCACTGAAAGATCAAGGCTATGCTCACACTCAGAGAGCAGCCGTCCTCCTGTGGACTCACCACCTGCAGAGGGTCAGTGAGGGGCTGGTGCTATGAGACTTGGGTGGCATCTCTGACTGCCACCCCCCTGACCCAGAAATGGATTAAAGGGTAGAAAATGGATGGATGGATGGATGTCTAACACTTGAATCTTCACTTGAATCAGTATTTTTTGAGACCAGAAATGTTCATTTGAATTCTATATTGTCATGGACTAATTGACCTCTGTCCTGACACTTTTGATTTGTTGATTTTGTACTGTGTGAAGTAATTACATTGATTCTGATAAAAACACAAATTAGAGAAGTAAACTGAATCATTGCGCTTGCTTTTGTCTGAGGGACATTAGCAACAGTATGAATAGAAATTGTCTTTAAAGTAGAATCAAAATGACTTAACCATAGAGAGTAACTATTGCATAACAAGCTGTGTACAGGAACTGTGACACTGCACCATTGACCAGAAGTGCATCGCAAATGACCTGATGTGCTTCAAGTGAAAAGACCATCTGGAGAGACCAAAACCATGGCTTGGACCCTACTGATGTCCAAGATGACATCTCTCGAAATATGACCTGACCTGATGACGACTGACACTCACCCTCAGGGGACCCTGAGGATCTGAGGACCCTGAGGATCTGAGGACCTGAGGACCTGAGGACCTGAGAGAGAAAAACTGGGGAGTGATGTTTATATTTTTAAAATCATACATTGATGAGTGCTAAATGAGACAAATACTCATGATTTTTCTTTTGTTTTTGTTTGTCTCTAGCTTCTGGACATCTGATGATCTATTGGACACAGACATTTGCAGAACAAGAACCAGCCAATGAAAAACGTCTATTGCCGATGCTATTGCTACAACCAGAACCACAACTGTGACCAAATGCAATACATAGTATTCAGACATTTGACAGACAAAAACTTTGACTTTTTTAGTTTGGGAGACTGAGCAACTGTTAAAATGATAAAAGTATGAGTATTGTAGCGTTTTAGTAGATGTTAAAAGTGACAGAAGTCACAAACTAGAAATATGCTTTGGCTCAAGCTGCAACCGAGCTTTGGAGTCACAATAAAGTAAAAATAGAATTAGATAAAAGCATCAACAATAGATGCTTTCAAAAATAGAGATTATTTCTTGCCAGTGCTAATATCAAACGGTAAAAGGACCATTTCACAAACCTTTACTTCAAAAGTAAATAAAGTTACTTACAGTTGTATGCAGTTTTATTAGATACTTGCCAAATTCACTTGTGTTCAAACATCTGTGAATGTTGGCAATACAAAAAGTTCATGAGTGTAGCCGAGATTAATGAGATCTTTGAGAAGTTTAAAAGTTGTTGCTTTGTCAGCACAGATTAGAGAATCAAACACCATTTTAGAATAATAATAACTGACCCCAACCCCAAACCTGCTAAAATAGATTAGCTCTTGTAAGGATAATAATAATTTGATTATTGATGTACATTCATCCCAAACTGCCTGAGAGGAGGAAGTGACAGCACTTCCTGGTTCAACAAATGTATTTGGAAAACTGACCGCCATAATAATGTTCATATTAACCATTTGTCTTTCTGTGTTCACAGTTTTATTCCTGAGTAAGTAAGTAAGTAAGTAAGTTTTTATTTATATACCGCCTTTTCACTGCAGATTTGAGTCTCAAAGCGGTTTACAATTGTTAATTTTGGGCATTTGTCTCTCACTCCACACAGAGATGGGAGCGGGGTCGCCAGTACAGGAGGCGCATGCCAGAACTATTGGACATATTTTTAGTGGTAGGGGAAACCAGAGTACCCGGAGGAAACCTACGCAGACACGGGGAGAACATGCAAACTCCACTCAGAAAGGCCCTGGTCCGACCGGGATTCGAACCCAGGACCTTCTTGCTGAGAGGCGAGAGTGCTATCCACTCAGCCACCGTGCTGCCCGCCGCTGAGAATGTAGAATAGACATAGAGCAAAATCCCACTAACAATAATCCACTGATAATGAAAGTAAACCACAGAGATTTATTAGATTAAAATATATGTTTAAGAATATGGCTCGATAAAAGCAAATATGCAAACATATTT